TATATGCATGCATGGATCAATATGCTATATGACTTCATATGTATTTAGTTAGTGGGAAAACATAAGAAGTGCACATGAGCCGAATAGTTGTACGTCCTGCATGACAGCGGCAGTAATCTGGAAAGAATTATAGGCAGATGTTATATTTGCTCCAGAATCGCCGGTTTGAAAATCACCAGCAGCCATCTTTGCAATGACCGAAGAACTAACTCAGAGTAGACGACTGAATGGACATGTATACTGTTTGCAAAAAGTTTCATAAGAGATAGAACTTGGCAGAAAGGTAAATAAAAAGTAGAGTTTAGCGAAAACAGCTCGAAAGCATTCTGCTGCTCGAACTACGGCAGATACCTATATATATATATATATATATATATATATACATGTTCTATCGTGTAAATAAAATGTGTCATAATTTAAGAAATATGAAGGTGTTTGCGTCGTTTTGGTTGAACTAGCTACTGTTCTATTATAACTGGCACAAAACACATGAGCAAATGATGAGTACCTTTTTAAGCACTTTCAATAAGCAGTACTATGTCGCTACCCGCCATCGATCTGTAGGGCTATATCTCAAGCAGCTTGTAAATCTGTATGTCAGGTTTGTAAGTATTTGTGTTAATCGTTAATAGTATGTTCTAATATCTGTCGGAATATTTTTTTATAGCGAAGGGCTACATCGCCCCGAATTTCCTTGTTGCAGACAAGGTGACTTCCGAGCAAAACCTGTGAATTTTTATTTACCATCTAGCATCGCTAACGCTGGGACGTTAAGAAACGTTTTACGCTAGAACAAGGTTAAGCGTTCGCCATGCTTCGCTTATGCAAAATGGTGAGTGTTCTGTCTGAAAATGAACCTAACCTTATTTACATAAAGGGATAATTAATAACCGTAAATCATGTGCATGAACGCCATGTTTTCGGAAAATATCTTGAAATCGCTTTACGAAAGTTCAAATGCATAAAAAGCGTTCAGCATTTTACTTTAAAGTGGTGAAAAACAAGTTTACGAGACGACAAAGCATTTAGTTTGGATTAAACTATCCAGACTCTACCCATTACGGTGCAGCGGTAACGTATTTACTTACTAAACCCAGAAACACGTAACAAAAGCTATGGCAGGAACCATGTGTAAACACAGTATACTTCTTGTTGAAAGGGCTAAATATTTGAATGAATGCTTAGCTAATGTATAAATAAAATGTAAAAAAAAAGGTATAAAATCAGTGGTTGAAGTTAAAAGTATTTAAATGGTCCAGATTAAGCAAAATCTACGCTTCTTTACATGAAAAAACCCTTCCGTATTATGGTAAGCCTTACGCGGTTGTTTCCCACCTTGCATCAGAAAAGGTTTTCATTCCGCTTTTAGCCATCTATCGCATTCGGGTTTCACTGTGCTACTACTACAAACTAGAAAAATACAGAAGTGAACTAAAAATGTAAAATTAATTAGTTCGAATGGACCGATTTAATCACAATGACGCCAAATCGAGCTTCGAATTACACTCAGTATCAAAACATCTGTTCCCTTTAATCAAAACAGCTATTACTTGAATAGAACAAAATGATTCTCTCCATCAGATGATAGTATTCGAAGTAAGTACTTAATCTCCTATGATTTTTGAAAGTTGTGAATTTATACAAAAAAAAAAAAAAAGAGTACAGTTTTCACGTAATTCCCACAGTTGGGATCCGCGCAGTACCAGTTTACTTGTCTATTGCTCTGTGTAAATATTGAGTAAGCCTGCATTGTTAGCGATGCCTCGCTGTTATCCAATTGCCTTAGAAACGATGCAACATATCTGAAGAAAGGCTTATTCTACGCCCAAACAGACTTATGTATACGGATCCAGTATCTGAAAGTGCACGACGCCACTGATACCAATCACAATGGCCAACAGTGATTAATTTGACATTTGGGGTGGTAAAATATCGCTGTCAATACATATCTAAATAATTTGGATGCAGCGAAAATATGTTTTTTTTTTCGCCAGCTATATAACGATACCTAATTCATTGTTGGGTGGTGACAGCGTTTGGGCCTTTTAAAGTTTGTGCTTTCTATATATATATATACTATGGAATGAAAGCTTTGCCAATGTCTTCTCAGGTTTGTATAGATGCCGCACTTGATGTCGAGGAAACTGCTAAAACAAAAAAAAAAAAAAAGTTATTTATCGTGCCAATAAACTGCGTTGCGTTGACTTATTGCTTTTAATAGGCATTGCTTTTGCTTTATTAAAGCTTTCTACAGTAGGAGCGGAGTTAGGATCCTACAATGCGTATCGGTTGAGACAGGGCACCAACTGACGCAAGAAACTATCTCGCAAAAAGTATACCATACATTATGAACAGACAGCCAATGCCAGGTAGTAATACGACTAGGTTTGTATTGGTCAACAGTATTTTATGACAGTATTGAGCTAAATGTACATTAATGGTATCATCTGGACTAGTACGTCAACGCGGTACACAGAGCTCCGTGGAACAAAATCTGATAGAAAGCTCACGGCCCAAATTTGGTTGATAACTCATTTAAATTTACTCCATTAAAGGTGATCAGATTTAGGTTAGGTGATCAATGCGCATCTCTTTGAATATGTTGGCAGCGTAATCATGAGAATGCGGCCATTGCGGGTTGCTATTTCACCGTCGACAGCAGGTCCCTGTGTCGTACTGTGACGAATGAAGTGCTATCATTAGATAAAAACCAAAATAGATCTAGCAAGACGCGTGTAAAGCAATGCCTGACGGCTTAAGTAGCAGGCGGAAAAACACTAACATGTTAAATTATCGGAATTGCATGTGCCCGTACGCGATGTCGATTCCGGGCCTATAGTGCGAACGATCCAAAATTACGCAGCAAATCAAAGTCATGAGGGGCAAGCAAGACTGCGTATCGTCCAGGAATTAGATTCTTTCTTAGAGTCTTTTTTGAAAATATCAATAAACCACTAGAGTAGTAGGAAATAATTGATCTATTTGGAAAGAACAGAACCGTCGTAACTGTACGTCATCGTAACGTAGCAAAGATTTTAACGAACCCTTTGTAGTCGTTCGTGCCAGAGAGCAAAGTGGCCGGGCTTCAAATAGTTTACGCAAGCTCTGCCTATCATTAATGCCAACCGCGGCGAATAGTTTAACAAAAACCAGGCAGCTTGCTGTGAAGTATACCGCAAATGTAGTTCTATCCTTTTTTTGGCGCAAAAAAAATGGTGCACTTTGTATCAAAATGCGTCTAGATGCCTGCTTTCAGAATTCAGTAGTTGTTTCTTACAGCTTGAGATGTTACTTAATTGAACAGCCGAGTTAGCGGAGTCATACGTACGAAAAGAAAATTTGAATCACAACTTTCTAATCAAACGAAAAAAAGAAGAGTCAAATTAGATTATATGTAGGACCGTCGGCTAACCATCTATCGACTGCATCATTTCTTAAGAAGCTGCTAAGTGACGGTATTTATAACACCTGAGCAGGACAGAAAGGTCCACCGCTCCACGGTTAATTCACATGGTTTGAAATTGGCTCGTTCATATCAACGACAAGCATATCTCTATATATGTTTTTTTATTATTTATTCACATAGACCGTATACGATGTGTCACTGGTGGATCTTGAAACGGCATTCGCTGGTCTTAATGGATCCTGTTTCATTGAATATATTTCGATTCTTCTGGGCTTTTTCATAGGGTGAATCACTGAAAACTTTTAGATCAATGGAGGTTATTATAAGATGGCGTCAAGTCAATTCTATAGACAACTGATTATCTATACATATGTATGCGCGTCGATGATAGCTTTAGCAATCAAGGCGTTTGTCCTTCGCTAGTTCCTTAGGAAAATTGTTCGGTTTTGTATAGAGACGCAAAAAAATAATCTTAACAATAACGGGCTGCAAGACGGCAACGTTTCCAAATAACGTACAGCTGCTGCTGCTGCTGCTGCTGTTACAATTCTACGTTTACGTTACGATAGTGTATATTAAATACCCTTATGTATTTCCTCCCCTTATTAACTATAATAATGCCAACTTGAAACCTGTTTCGAGGCTTCAGAATCGATTGTTATCTGCATATCATGAACGTACTTCGGTCATGGCTTGGATTTGCCATATACTCTTTATGTTCTTTTTCCTGTCTTCAAGACACCAGAGCTGCATTAATCTTTGCAAGAACCTATATATGTCTGTTGGGATTGCTGTTGAGTTTAAAATTCACGTGTCATAGACGCGCATCAAAGCGCTTGAGAGTGTGTAATCGAAATATATTAGCCAAGTATTGCTTGGATGAGAAATCAAGCGGGATATCCTATGGATTTAAATTTCTCAGGATATGAAGTGAAACGGTTCGTGAAGCGGCCAAGTCTTATCCTCTATTAGCGTTAAACCCTTGGAACCGTTAGCTTATTAAGTGGACTATTTTACAAATAATTTTACTTGTAATAATGCGGAACACTTAGTGAAATTAGAATAGTTCCGTCGGTGACAATGCACAGTGTTTTTTCGTGATGACTCACGTTTAGTAGGTTGTCAAATTACTACTATATCCGCTAGCGATAGGCGGTATGTAATGATGTGTTTATAACTAAACCACAAAAGTATTTGGTATAGGTATCCGTAGTGGAAATCATTTGCTCAACATTGTACTTCCTCCCACATCAGCGTTAAGTAGTGACGGCGTCAACGAGTGGTCACTTGTTGACCAACAAATGGGCATCGGTTAGTTCATCTCAGAGTGATAGGTTACGATTTATGAGAAACGTTCACTCTGCGATGAGCGATTTAATGAGCTGTGGACACATCATCCGATGAAACACTTCGTCGAGATTGCTTCTAATGAAGAACAAACTTGCAGATCGGTTAAGAAAAATCAAACAGCTTTACAATTGGTCAATAACTGTAAAGTTATTTGCATCGACCTGATCTATAGCGAAATCGATAAAAAGCTTAATTACGTTGAGTTAGCGTTCTTCAACAAATGGTACAGTTCTGTGCGGATCGATTATATAGACCTCTATACTAAACCACCCCAAACAGTATTCGATGCCTGTTCTTTAGTTTATCTATTATAGATAACATCGCGCCTTCGCAATGGGGTTCAGATTGCAATCAAGCGCTAGCACGTTCGATTCTCCCTATATCTATGTATAGGACATGCAGGCTTTATTACGCGTTGTTTTCAAGCCGGCCACGAAAATCCTTGCGTGTCCCAACTCCAATAGGAAAAGTAATCAACTCTTTCACTTTTACCTATGCCCATTCTATGAGGTTATACACGTAAGCGGTCTCGTCGTATGATATGTCCCAAAATATATGCGAACCAAACTATCTGATAAACAGCACCGATCCAAAGATCGAATGATGAATGCAGTAGTTATGCCGCGCGGGTAACGCTAGCTTGGAGAGAATCAACAGAAAAGGAACAAGTTTCCTTTGGTATACATGGCCTTCATCTCTGGTGTATAATTATTAGTCAGAGGTTATCTTTTTCTGTTCGTACCCACACCTGACCGTCTCGACTCGCTTGGCGCGATCACTTGGTAACTAGCTAAGTGTCCGTTCGATATATGCTGGATTCTAGTTACCCTGTCCCTATCTGTCGGCAGCTGCTATCGTCTCATTCATTATTCGATGGTGAAACAGCGAAACAGAGGCTGAAGTTACGGCGAAGGCTATATGCAATCATAAATAGAGGAAAGCAAATTCGTCCCACCGCAAGCATTTAGAAAAATTTTTGAGAAAAATGATTGAAGTGAACAGTAAAAAGAGGGTCTTTTTTGAAAACTAGCTGGTGAAAACTATAACGTAACGGCGTCGATCTGGCTCTGGTTTTCAAGACCAAAAAAGAAGAGTGACTCGAGGGTGGCGTCGTGGCGAGCGAGTCCAATAATGCTAATATTGTCAGCGCCCAAAGATAACGTCCTAGTTTCATGTGCGTTTGGCGTATATGTGTAGCCCAACGTTGGAGATAATAATATTAAGGAAATGATGTGCAAGACCTTTTCTAATAAATCATAGCTAATTCTAGCATGAAAAACTGCAGTGGGGTCAGGTATTTGATACTGATAAGTAGTCTTTCAGTCGTTTCTTGTTAAGCATGAGACAGATGTTAGGTAGGACCATTTTAGCTGTTTGACTTAGCTAAGTTTTTACAACGAACAGTTTATGGTTAAAGCTCAGTCCGGTTCCGTAGTTGTTCCCATTCATGACAACCATACTAACGACATCGTAAAGAACGTCGCTATTGACAATATTATTATATCGTATAGGAATGCTTGCTTTAGTACGCATGCAACGTTTACTTAAGCCTTTCGGGGACGATTTACCGGAAAAACCACTCGAACATCGCCACTAACAGTAACATTGACACGAACAGTCTCATAGAATCGGCGGCTCGAATTACGCGTCTGGCTTCGAATATACTTTGCTTATCGAACAATATGTGACACTGGTTTCAATAAATAGCTGCAATTGTTGGATAATATATGGTCTTCAGTGCTGATACTGCTAGAGAACATACCAGAGACGATCGAACGTTCCCGTAGATCCGCCTTTCTAGTGACTTGTACTGTCGCGGTCTTCGCTCCCGACAGAATGCCGTGTTTAGCTATGCTATGACAGCACAAGTTAGAAATAATCCAGCGCACTCTGTTCCTACAGATTGGTAATATGCAAAATGCATAACATCAATCTTGGTACGTATACCATTATATGCATGTTCTAACAATAGATGATAATGTTTAAAATTTCATTTTTCATCGATGTAAGCTTTACCTTCGAAAACGAGAGTTATGTTAGTAGCACGGTTAGCGCGCACTTACCTCTCAGTTGCAAGATACTACTGGGTTTCACGGCGATGTCTGGTCCTCTGTCCGCGCGCATGACCCCGCCTTGCATTCATTTTGAGCCTGTGTGCAGTTTAGCTAATGGGAACGAACAGACACTGCTAGAAGTTCCTTTCGTGGCGGTCACTGCTGCTGCTACTATTTGAGTGTATGGCCAGAAAGCTATTGTGATCTTAGGGTAACGAGGGCCCCGAGTGTTGAAGAACTCACTCTCCGCCATATATACCTGATACGACACGAGCAACGACCGCTAACAGCCGCCGTAGCAGCAGTCGATAACAGTGCTCCTGCTGGAGACTGTCGCGTTCCCTGGTGGGCTCTAGTTGTGTCTGTGTGACACGCAGTGTGGACTACTGGCCTCGGCCTGCGCGGTATTTGTGTCTGACATAGAACATGTCACCGATACAGGATAAAGGCCACCGATAGAGAGAGGCAGAGAGTAAGGAACTTTGTTTGTCGGCTCGGCTGGTCAGTCTTCACTTGGTTCGTCGGCTGGGAATGCGATATGCTGAGCTACTAATGTGATTAGGTGACTGGTACCGGCTGATCGCCTACTATCAGACCGAGTGGGTATTTCTGTATACCCGTGTCCGTGTGTGGTATCTTATTCGTGTTGTGCGTGTCAGTTAGCTTTGGCGTGTGCGCTATTTGTCCTGCTGGTTTTCGTGGCGTGTTGCGTCTCGTGTGAATAAATACATGGTTGGCCATCGTGAGTCCAAAAAACATCGAGCGGTGTTTAGACAGAGTTCCAATGCCTCATCGGTGAGCTCCACGTCTGTGTAGTGGCTAAAGCCAGGGAAGACATCAGATCGCACCTAATACCTCGTTGTTCCGACTGGCCTCAAAGAGTCTGCCCATCTGCTCCGGCGACTTTTCAGCAATCGAAAGGATAGAACAAAAATCCTACAAACAAAAGAAACCTCAAAAGCAACAATAACATCACATCAAAACCGGTCACCTATCAACCTAGCCCACACTATCAGCAACAGCAGACAGCATGGCTCAGACCGGAACCCGGAGTCTGGCCCTGTGCAGGTGAGTACATTATAAAATGGCTCAATTTTGTCCGCTGTACATCTATTAATTGATATAGAAGTCATACTAAGATTGTGCGACCATTCGCGCACTGAACCTATTCGGTATACATTTAGTACGTCAATCAACTCTCGGGCGCAGTCATCCGGGACCAGTTGCCTGTTCATGTTGTGCATCGGCGGCGGTGTTGACCAGACGACGGGTCGAAACAGCAAAAAAAGCTTATTGGTCTCATCGGACCAGGTGAGCTAACATGTGGTGTCCTGCATCCCACAGAAGCAACCACCGCACATATGTACAGTGCAGCTCTATTGTAGAGCATTGGATGTCGAGGCCTGCCAATGAAACCCCTTGTATGGCTTTGTTGCTGTTTGCTTGGTCTGAGAGGGCTGCTTATCTCGGAGATACGATGGCCCAGTGACTATTTGCATACGCTTGCGTAGTTGCTTAATATACCTAAAGCTCCGATCTCTACTCAGATAGAAGTTACGAAAGCAGCCCACAAACTGTAAGTGTGACCTCTTTCGCTGTGTCTAATAGTAATTATTGGGTTGATCACAGCTCTAACCCTGAACATGTAGCCTTGCCATCGCGACGACTGACCGACTCCTGACCAGACACTGATCCGCGTGAAAGAGACCCTTTATAGCCGTAGTTGTAATAAATGACGATAGGATTAGATGAATTATTTTTCCTGAAAGCACTAGCGTGCTCTAACTGGGCTTTGCCGGGTACAAAATATGAATTAAGTTTACACTTAGTGGAAGTAGTGGTATTAAATGTATCGTTCGCTTGCGCATCCACAACGAAGGATGGAGCGTAAGTTAAAGTGAACGGAGTTTTTCTGAAATTGTGTTTTATTTTGTATGTGGAATTGCCTTGTTGCTCTTGTTGGTTAAGAGCATCTGTGACGTGACAAAGGTTAGACCAATGCATCTGATCAGAAATAATTAAAAAAAGATCATATTCAGGAAACATTACTATATATGTATCTAGCATATATACCTATTTGTTAACATATTTACAAAGGGTTTTGTTGATATTAAAAACTAAGGGTTTAATGAAATTCTTACCTGGAAAATCCTTAAAACACTTTTGTTGTTGTTGTTGTTGTTGTTTTTATCTAAACGACGCGCATGCTCCTCAGCCTTCATTTACCTTTTGTTTTGATCTAATTTAACATGCTGACCCTGTAAACAGGAACTATGCGAAAAAAGCTCAATAAAGAGCCAGGTCTTTTTTTTTCAGTCAAGTCCCACCTAATTCACCAGCTCAATTTCCTCTACTCAAAGTCAGATAGCATTATACTATCTTAAAGCGTTCGTTCGTAACCCCTAGAGTAAACTCCGTCTCGCGGTAGCAAATGTGTCCGTGTGTGTATCACCTTGTCTAGACGGGAATACCAGTGGGGAAATGTCGAGTCTTCGTATTTATATTGCTATGGATTTTCACTGTCATTTCATGCGGCGGCTCGATGTTTTTTACGTTCGATGGTGGCTGTGCTGATGATAAAAACAATAACGCCCTTTTCAACTAGCCCAGTGCGACAGTAGCGTTGTTTTACATGTAGAGCTGCTAACTGCAAAAAGATCAAATGCTGTATAACTGGGTAAAACGATATCATCCTTTAAAGTCATCGAGGACGACTGATCTAACAAGGGTGGTTGTCGTAAAAATTTGTTAGCGAATTCGTGTTACGGACCACAGTGGATGTCCTTTCCTCTTAAAAGTACCCTCTAATAGGTGACAAAATGAATCAAAGCATTTGTGCGATTACGATATGACGCCAACTTAAGTCTTAGGCAAAAAATAAAGGGGGCTATCCCCTGCCTTTCCTTTGATGGCCTATTTGTTAGATAACAAAAGATACAATGTTGTAGGCCACGAAATGGTTGCTGTCCTTGCTGATACCCATCGCCACGATTACTCGCTGTGACTCCGCTTCTTCGCCATACAGCATGATAGAACTCGATTAGTCAGTTACAACGGTTTTGTTGTCACCAAACTGAGAGGAATTAAATATCCTTGTGAATTGTCCCTTTACGCAGGCCAGTACGCGTGAACGCCCTCATTACTACGAAATAACACACTGGTGACGGCATTCAGAATCTACTTTTTCGGCGGTTTTGTGCAAACAACTATCATTGATCCGATGATCCAGTTATAATCCGATTATACAGCGCATATTGATTTTGCAATATATCTAATGTTAACATAGGGTACCAATCCAGCTAAACAATTCTAGCCCTACGTCTAATACATAGTTATATTAGCATGTCGCGTGGCTCAAGGGACACTTCATTTACGAGATCAAGCTTCACTACGCGACGGATTTCAGCGACGGCCCAGCTGTAATGTTGTACACGGTTTATATGCCCAGGTCAGCAGTGGCAAGGTATCATCTCTTTGCAGCGCTTGTGTTGTACAATAGAGTGTGACTAAACAACTGAATAACTATTTGATATTAAAAAACACTCTGCGAGCATAATTATCTCATATAATTACATAGTTGTACTATTGGAAACTAAGCAAAAGTATCTATGATAACATAATACGAGGTGAAGCAAAAACGGGTACAGCCAATCGAAAAATGATTCTTGTTTCAATATCTGTTGAATCCCTGTTTAGAATCACAATATGTTCGCCCATCTGGGTAACACCTCATTTTGTACTTCTTTATTATAGGTCCTTTATGTTCCTCGTAATCTATATGATTAAAACGTCTCTCATTCGGGTCTCGATAGGGGTATATCGACGGTCCAAAAATGGCATCAATCTAGCGGTATGACCCATGCATTCCCGGTTGGGTCACATACTGGCCAGTTATATGCAGATAGAGAGAATTCATTCGCATAGTTCTTTTGGCAGGCTCTTGGCCTGCTATTGAATCAGGTGAAGGTCGTTCATCAGCTTCGATGAGAAAGGTCTGCGGCCGTAAAACACTGACTTTTTAGTGACTGGAAGGCTTTGACTACTCTATAGTTTTATCATAATTTGGCAGACCAACCTCAAAATGTAGCTCTTCTCAACGAGAAAAGGGTAGGGATACTCAATGGCAAAATATTCATATCGTGTAGAACAGTTTAACCGTGAGAATATGAACATTTCTCCATATGCTACTCTTATAGGAAATTAAATATTTATTAATGTAATAAATTGGATCATGTTGGTAGTGTTACTGTGCATCATAAACGATACAATAAAAATGATTGTACGGTTTTCAGGTAATGGGAACTATTCTTTCTCACAACTCGAACGCTGTGGCCGAACCTTTTGTTTAATTGTATCTTTTGTTTTTATGTTCGTCACATTTGGCTTCTCTCCGCTACGTTATATGGCTTAATGACCAAATTCACTTATCTAAGAGAGAACTTTCAGCGTTTTTTTTATCACGGTCCAACACAACGTCGTATGTCGTAGTAATGAACTTCTGTGGTCGCAATGGGTCTATACGTTATTACTAATCCTCGCTCGAATTTTTTCTCGGAAGACATCGCTCAACCCATCAATTATAATGTTTTTAACCTTAAATCTAGCTTCTAATCTTCGTGCTGCAGATTACAAGAAAATAATCAACCCACCAAACCTACCTGGACATAATATCAGCCATACTAAGCTACAGAATCGCTTACCAATAAAAGTAAAGCCTTTTCTTTTTGAACAATACCAAAGTACGGGTCAACTTAATTTTGAGTAATAACCTTCGGTATTTCGTGCTCACTGTACGTATTTCATTCGTATCATTTAGTCCATCTCAGGGTAATTCAGACGGGTTTTTCTCCTGTTCAAATATTGTTCGACCTGTTGTGGAAAACAGACGGTTCAGGTCCTTTTGGATGGCTTTGCCTGCGACGGGAATCTTCTTAGTAACAGAAAACGACTGTTGGTTTTGCAGACGATACCGCCAATATTCGAATAGGTATTGCTGTGTTAGGCGCCAAGCCTATAAGACGAGACGGCTTTTTTCTATGAGCATAGATAGATCCCTAGTTTTTCGTTTCCCGAATACAACGAGATTTTTTCATTGCGGGGTAATATATTTTAGCATTGCATGACCAAGTGGTATCAGCAAGCTTTGCTTAACTAGTCCTAGGTGCGTCTAAACGTATTACGTAGTGACGGGAGCTGTACGGTATAAGGAGCGTCATGGTTGAATCGACTAAATTGAAAAGCGTAACTTT